GCTTAGGAGAGGGAAGACAAAAGTAACACGCGCTCGCTGTGGGGGCGGGGGGGGGGGAGTGGGGGGAGGGAAAGGTGTGAGCATGCCCCCAGGAGGGAAAGACCCTCAACTCTATTAGTGCTTTTATTTTATTTACTTATTTTTGAACTTTTATAAGAATTTATTTAAGCCGAACTGACAAAATATGCCAGTGTCGGGGTGGGGAGCAAGATCTCAAATGCTCTTTCCTCTATTAGTGCTTTTAAGGTGATCCATCAAAAACTCAAAAGATTGACATCTTAAACGACATGCCAGTTTGTTAGATTGCAGTGGAAGGTAGTCCTTTCCAGTAATTACAGTGCTAAAAGAGAGATGTCTTTTCCTGCTCCAGGATGTTCATATAGGCTATAGTTGGAATGGGAGAGAGTCCCAAAAACCAGTAATTCTGCCTCTATACATGCTATTCACTCTGTTTCAAGTGTGTTTCATTCACTTTATACCCACTGAACTCCAGCTTGCCTTTCAAGAGAAGCTTTTATGTAACCATCTCTTTTGTGTCCCTAGGGTATTTGTAAATGCTTCCTTTAGAGCAGCAGTTCTCAACCTGTGGGTCGCGACCCTTTGGGGGTTGAATGACCCGGGTCGCCTAAGACCTTTGGAAAACACATATAATTACATATTGTTTTTTGTGATTAATCACTATGCTTTCATTATGTTCAATTTGTAACAAAATTGGGGGTCACCACAACATGAACTGTATTAAAGGATCGCGGCATTAGGAAGGTTGAGAACCACTCCTTTAGAGCATCTCTTGTCTCAGACTTGCACTTGTTTATTTGCTTGTGTCCTGGCTAGATTGAGGGCTCTAAAGTCTAGGACTGCAGAACTGAATTGTTTCAACTTTATTAGTTAGCAGTTCTTAAGAGTTTAATAATACTTAAAGCAGCCCTGTGGACTCTTGTCATGTTTTCTTCCTTTGATACTCATGGCCGTTGCTTGGTGCTGTAGCTCCACGCAAGTATTGCTTCAGGTTAATAATTGCTTGGCTTGATTTTTGCCTGGAGTTAAACTCTTGATACTGTGAATCTGCATTAGGAGTTAGAAGTTTTAGGTTGGAGTTCAGAGTCTCCCTTTACAATTTATGTGTTCTGGGCAAGCCATTTTAAAAGTATTCTTAGTATGAAATGGGGATGGTGGAAACAAGATTAAGATCACATGAGCTACTAGAATATGTTAAACTACTTTAAAATGTTAAGTGCTCTACCATTGTGAGAAGTTGTTTTTATTGTGAGCTCCATGGGTTGGGTAGGGAAGAGTAATTTTCAACAAGAACATGAGTGTCGTTATATCTACCAAGTAGACTCTAGTTATTAGAGCATTAGGTCTTTACTTATAGGAAGTTGGCTTTTTTTTTTTTAATGCATTCATTGGTTGCTTCTTGTATGTGCCCTGACTGGATATTGAACCCAAAATTTTGGCGTATTGGGACGATGCTCTAACCAACTGAGCTACCCGGCCAGGGCAGGAGTTAGCTATTTGTTCAGACTAGAATTTGAATATTTGCTTTACAATTACTCTTTATCTGGGTGTTGTGGGCTATAGAAACATTTTTTAGTAATTTGTATTAGATCCCTGGAGTTTTTCTCTGGTGTCTCAAGACTATTCATTAAATTGTGATACTACATATATGAAAGCACTGTTTTCTAATATGCAAATTAACCTAGTCTTTTCTTCAAATTTTTTCTATAATTTGCCTAACCATGCGGTGTGGGCTTTTATTTTTTTTTTCAAATTATAAGGGAAAGTTTATTTAGAAAGTTACAGAGGTAGTAGAAGTGAGCCAGCTGGGCTGTGTAGGTTCAGGAAACAAGTTACAGAAGCAAAAGAAAAGGACCCTTGGAGCTTAGGAGAGAGAAGAACAAAGGTGCCAGGTGCCCGGGGGAAGAAGAGGGAACCGGAAAGGCTCAGGAGCAGGTGTGCTCCCGAGAGGGAGAGTGCGCAGGTGTGGGCTTTTTTTTGTTTTGTTTTTTTTAAAGACAATCACAATTTCAAGATTTCTGTCCTATTATCGTTACAGATTTCAGGAGTTGAGTGACATCATTCAGACTTTCAAAATCCAGTGTCAGATTTTGTGCCCCACTTTTTGGTTCAGAACATCGTATCACCTAGCCATGGCCTTTCAACCGTCATAGTCAGAGGATATCTCTTTTGTCTTAATATGGAAGTGTTTCTTGGTATATTTTACTTAATCTACCTCTCTCTTGATTTTTTTTCTTTTAACAGATATGGAGGCTAATCACCAATTTTTTATTTTTTGGGCCTGTTGGATTCAATTTTTTATTTAACATGATATTTCTGTATCCTTTATTAAGAGGGGTTAGCATAAAAACTTTAGGTTCACTTAGGAAATACAATTCTAAGTTGAAACTATTAATCCTGTTATTTTTGATACCATGTTATTTTTTTTTTAATATATTTTTATTCATTTCAGAGAGGAAGGAAGAGAGAGAGAAATAGAAACATCAATGATGAGAATCATTGATTGGTTGCCTCCTGCACACCCCCTACTGGGGATCAAGCCTGCAACCTGGACATGTGCCCTTGACCAGAATCAAACCCAGGACTCTTCAGTTCACAGGCCAACGCTCTGTCCACTGAGCCAAACCAGCTAAGGCTTTGTTAACATTTTAGCTGTAACTTCTAGGTACTGGTTCAATGGTGCAGAGTACTTGGTCAGATAGTAATGTTTTGAGGGTATTTGTAGGTCACTGCTGGTTCAAAGGGGAGGTATCTATAATAATAAAAGTGTAATACACTAATAAAAGTGTAAAAGCTAATATGCTAATTCCTTCCCCCTGCAAGGGAAGCCCAGGTCCCAGGTGCCTGCCAGCGGCCAGAGGGAAGCTCGGGCTCCGGTTGCTGGAGGAAAGCTGGTGCCAGCAGCCAGGGGAAGGAAGGCCTATTCTGGCACGAATTTTGTGCATCAGGCCTCTAGTTTAACCATAAAATGATTACATGTCTGCCTCTAAGTCACTTGCAAATCTGATCAAGGGAGAGGAGTGATTTGATTGATGCATGCTTAAAAAGTAACATCAGAAACTAAGTAGTAAAACACAAGCTGAATATAGTGATAATTGATAGAGCTTTGATACAGGTCTGGGAGTGAGTTCATGAAGAATGGAAACTTGAGATCTTGTATCTTAGTTGCTGGTTCTACTGGCTGAAAAGACAGAGCCATAATGTCTGCCAGGCTTGCCGCGTTCCAGTTTATTGAGAGACAGGAAGAGTTGTGCTCTGGTCATATGGTAATTGGGGCCCCTGAGCAGATCTTCCTCCTCCACCCTGACCCTCTGGAAAGAGGGCAGGGACAGCTCACCTCAGCCTGCAGTAGCCTGAGAGCCATGTAGGGGGTGACAGGATTCCTGCCCTAGGATGGATTCCTGTGTCTCCTATATGGTATATTCTGGTAAGTTTCTAATAATTAAATTTTTTCATCAAAATGCAACTTCATTGACTGAGGTATAGAAATACTCTACCAGCCTGAAGAAGTAGATTACCACTCAAGGCTTCTTGATGCAGATTTCTTCCAAGTTAGGTGTGCAAAAGCAAGGGTGATGCAGACTGTGGTGTGGCTGGACATGGAAAAGATGATACAAGTTTGAAAAGGTTTAATAGGTGACTGGGAGCATGTTTATCCAGCATCTGGCTTGATTCCCCAATTAGGAACAGTTTTTGTAAAATATGAAGTTGCATAAAATGTAGAGAGAAGTAACCATCCTACCACTTATAAACATTCTTTATAGAATGACTTATAAATGATGTGGAGTCCAAGTATTCTTACGTGATACATTAAATTTTACTTCCTTCATGTTTGTGTGCTTAACATTTTCTTAACCTGGAACCTAAGATACCGTTACTGTCGAATGCTAGAAGAAGGCTCTTTCCGAGGCCGGACAGCAGACTTTGTATTTATGTTCCTTTTTGGTGGATTTTTAATGACTGTATCCTTCAACAAATAGAACAAACATAGGAAAATGTACCAACCTCTCTCTTCCTAAAATTTTTCATCTGTCTCCTACAATTCACTAGATATTCTGAATAAGCAGAGACCTCCAGATTTTAGCTTGAGGGTACTACTGTTTATTGTACAGCACACTTTATGTGACAGTTTCTAAGCCTAGTGGTTAGACAGGATGCTTTTCTACTATGAGCACGTCAGAGGAACTTCTAACCAAGGTGGGTTACTGTCTGCTAGTGGATAAATGGATAAAGAAGATGTGGTGGTGTGTGTGTGTGTGTGTGTGTGTGTGTGTGTGTGTGTGTGTGTATTCCCCCCAAAAATGTATACATACTCTTTAACAGCATTTTCAGTTTTGAAAGTGAAGTGTATTTTAATAAACACTGCCTTTATAATTATTCAAAGTATGTATACATTTTTGGGGGTACCCTATATTATTGTTCATGGTGTGCTTCACTTCTAAATAAAGTTGGTAAGACATTTATTTGGTTACTACCAAAACTGATAAATTATTTTAAAAAAGAAGGAATTGTCAACCATATAACAGACTTGAATGTAGTCCGTCTGACACGATGGTTTTGCTGCAGTTGGCTTTATTCACCCTCTGTAAAGGTGCTGATGGTGAGTGAACTTCAATTCAATTATTGACCAAATAATTAACACATTTTCCGAAAAGACAAAAACTTCATGAAAGCAGAATAACACTTTGAAATCCAGATAATTTGGCCTAAGAAGGTTTTTGCCTGATTGCTCTGGGGAATTATTTTCAGTCCTTTTTCTTCTAAAGATGTAAGTAACCAATGCTTAGCTTTCCTAATTCAGACTTTTGTTAGAACACAATCCTTAGTTCTCTTGCCCAGTCTTCCCTATTACATTTTAATATTGATATTTTCCTTAATGCCATCTGCTAGATTTTTGGTTTGTTTGTGAGCTTAGTTTTCTTGGGCCAGGCCTTTACAATAATGCTTGTCTACGTGTGGAGCCGAAGGAACCCGTATGTCCGCATGAACTTCTTCGGTCTTCTCAATTTCCAGGCCCCCTTTCTACCCTGGGTGCTCATGGGCTTTTCCTTGTTGTTGGGGAACTCAATCATTGTGGACCTCTTGGGTAAGAGTCTTACTACTGCTTTTCTATTACGTTACTTATAAACTTATTTTGTCACTATTTTTCATGTTTGGCCTTCATATAATAGCTATTATGGGATTATTTAATAGTTATATGCTCTAAGATTATATTAGTTTTCTAATTCTTACTATATTGATATTTCTTTCTAAATATAAGGAATTTGTGTTGGTAGATTCACTTGCAATTAAAATTTTAATCCTCTCCCTCCTTTATTTCTGGTTGACTTTAGGTATTGCAGTCGGACACATATATTTTTTCTTGGAAGATGTATTTCCCAATCAGCCTGGTGGAATAAGAATTCTGAAAACACCATCTATTTTGTGAGTACTTAACGCCAGGTTACATGTTTTGTTACAAGGTTCATGATCAGTGTTCAGGTCAGTAAATATTTACAGATTGAGCCATCTCGCGGTAGTTGAGGAGTGTTTGTGTGGGAGGAGCAGACAGTGCCAGGCTGGTGGCAGGAGGGAGGCTCACAGGCTCAGGATGTCCCGAGGCTGACTTGTTAACTGCTGTCCGGGATGACCACTAGCACCCCCTGCTCCAGAGAGGAGCTTGTGGGTTTATGAAAGCTGCTGAGTTTATAGAGAGGTAAGAGCAGAATGGGCAAAACCTTCTAGAGCAGCGGTTCTCAATCTGTGGGTCGCGACCCCTTTGGCAGTCGAACGACCCTTTCACAGGGGTCGCCTAAGACCATCCTGCATATCAGATATTTACATTATGATTTATAACAGTAGCAACATTACAGTTATGAAGTAGCAATGAAAATAATTTTATGGTTGAGTCACAACATGAGGAAATGTATTTAAAGGGCCAGAAGGTTGAGAACCACTGTTCTAGAGGAAAGTTTTTAATGGTGGAATTTCTGGCCTTCCAAACAGGTGGCAGTACCCTGGCCGGTGTGGCTCAGTTGGTTGGGCATCATCCCTTGCAGCAAAAGGTTGCCGGTCCAATTCTCAGGCAGGGTACATGTCCAGGTTGCAGGCTCAATCCCCGGTAGGGATCATGCAGGAGACAGCTGATCAGTGTTTCTCTCTCACATTGATGTTCCTCTCTCCCTCTCCCTCTCTCTCTAAAAGTCAATAATAATTTAAAAATCTTTAAATCAAAAAATACAAACAGTGGTAGAGATAAGCCTTAGAGTAGAAATAGCTTTGGGCTACAAACCAGGTGTAGGCCGTTCCATCGAGCAGCCCTGTGATTTTAAGCCAGTCCCTTCTTTTTTGCACTTAATTTTTCCTGGGGATAGAGCTTTTATAAGACCTCTTTCTACTCCAGAATTTTGTGTCCTTGGGATATACTGTATTAAAAAGTTCACTTGAGGAATGAAATGTAAGTTTTTATATTATAAAATGTTGGTTACACAATAGTTAAACAAAACAAAGAAAGCAAAATTCTCCATAATCCCACCTCTTAGATATAACATTGTTAACTTTTTTATGTGTTCATCAGTCTTTTATTGTCTGTGTACTTTTTAAAAATGCTTTTTATAATATTTTTAAGTAATGTGTCATAATTGTTCTTCCATCATAAATGTTCTACGAAATTGTGACAGCTACACAATATACCTGGTATGAATATAACCTAATTTTACTAATCCCTTACTGATGGACATTGACATTAGTTCTTGCTTTTCCCTTCTATGATTGGGGTCATGAATATCCCTGTAGCTAAATGTTTGCATACATCCATGATTATTTTCCAAGGTTAAATTCCTAAAAGTGGAATTGCTATTTTGTTTATTGATAAATCGCCACCCAGAAGGGATGTTCAGGTTTACATTTCTACCACAACATATAAAGTGTTCCTTTCCCACATCCTCGTCAAATGCAGGGGGTATTGTATTTACTCTTTCCTAGTTTGATAGCCATAAGATCGTGGACAAAGGATTTTCCCCCCTTGGGTAAGGGGGGAAAGTACATTGTCAGTATAATGCCCATGACCCCCTTTAATTGTGTTTTTTATAAATAAGGACGTTTCTTCTACAGTCAAAATCAGTAAGCGAACGTTAATCCTGAAACACTGTTACACACTGGAAAGTTGTCATTGTTCTTGATCCAGCTCAGCTCTAGGGGTTACATTTAGTTATGTCTCATTAGTCTCCTTCAGTTTGGAACAGCTATTCAGGCTTTCCTTGATTTTCATGACATAGACATTTGTGAAGATTATAGGCCCATTTTGACTAATGTTCTTTCACATTTAGGTTCAGGTTTTGCATCTTTGGCAGGAATGTTGAGAAGTGACATTGCATTCTTCTAATTGCAGCCTATTAGGACAGGATTTCAGGTTGTTGAATTTGTCAAAGTGGTAGTAATCACTGATTGTTTAAGGTGTCAGTGAGGCTTCTCCACTGTAAAGTTACACTTTTTCCTTTTTAATTTAATATATTTATATTGATTTCAGAGAGGGAGGGAGAGGGAGAAACATCAATGATGAGAGAGAATCATTGATCAGCTGCCTCCTGCACGCCCCCTACTGGGGATCAAGCCTGCAACCCGCTCATGTGCCCTGACTGGGAATTGAACTGTCACCTCCTGGTTCATAGGTTGATGCTCAACCACAGAGCCACACAGGCCGGGCTTTTATGTATTTCTCATATGCTGCTTCACTCATTAGTTCATCTAGTTCTGAAAGGTTACTCAGTGTCATCTTGATCAGCCAAACATCTTCATAATAAGATTTGTTGACAAGTCCTGGATTTTCTGCAAGAGCTTCATTAATTTCAGTTAATTCTGGTAGAGGAGAGTAGAGTTCACTAGCAGCTTTCACACTTTTCAAAACACCAAACTCATCTTGTTAGTTCAATTTTGTCCCAATTTCAGGCAGACTACAGTAAACATCATCTCCCAAAGCTTCCTGTGCAAAATTGTTGATCCCACTGTTCCAATACCATTTTCTGTTGTTATTCATTCATGTTTCTCTGTGAATTTATGCACTGAGAGCAGATTGGGGCCAGTGCACAGCCTCCTACCATCGCCCTCCCTCAGGCCCCAGGACCACATGCAGGGTGTGGTGGGCACTGAGATGGCACTCACGTTGCAGGCCGCTGCCTGCAGGCTCCCAGCCCTGAGAGCTCCACGTTGGTTCACAGGAGTGCAAAGGTTCTCGGCACAAGTCCTATTAAAAGGTTTTAAACAGGTTGAGCGTGGTGGTGGATTTCGCTGTGGGCCTCTCATAGGGTACCCATGCAGAGGAAAATGCAGCCTTGAACCATTGCCCAGCTGTGGGCTGTGAGCACTGAAGGGGGTTGTACAGTGTGGGGGAGGGGAGAAGATTTTAAGCAGGTTGTGAAAAGCACTGGGGGGCATCTTGGGTATGTTTATTGGGTAACAGGATGGAGTAAGTGTTGTGTTCATATTAGAATTGTCCAAACCTGTAGAGAATTTTTGTAAGAGTTTATTTGAATCAAACTGATGACATCCTGGGAAGCAAGATCTCAAATGCTCCTGTTTTTATTATTAATTTGTAAGAATTGAAGGAGCTCATATTAAAATACAGATTCTTTTCCTGAGCCCAATATATAATAGAAGTTTTCAGATACACTTCTGATGTTATCAACTGTGGGCAAGTACAATTAGAAATATGAATGTAAATAGAAGATGCTGCTTTAAAGTTTTTGGACATTTAATTTATTTAAAATTTTAATTGTGATTAAATACACATAACATAGAATTTATCATTTTATACACTTGTAGGGCACAGTTCACTGGCATTAAGTACATTCACATTGTGCTTCTATCACCACCATTCATCCCTAGAACTCTTCATATTGTAAAACTGAACTCTGCCCATTTAACCAGCGATCGCCAACCTTTCAGACCTCACAGACCACCAGTGGTCCATGGACCACCGGTTGGCGACCGCTGCATTAAACAATAACACCCGTCCCCTTATCCCCCTATCCTTTCACAACTACCACTTTCTACTTTTTGTCTCCATGAGTTTGACTACTCTAAGTACCTCATGTAAGTGGAATCATGCAGTATTTGTCCTTTTGTGACCAGCTTATTTCACTTAGCATACTGCTTTCAAGATTCATCACTGTTGTAGCATGTGTCAGAATTTCCTTTCTTTTTAAGGCTGAATAATATTCCATTGCATGTATATTCTATTTTGTTTATTCATTCGTCTGTCAATGATTGTGGGGAGACATCCATGATAAATTTAGTGAAAATCAGGTTACAAACAGAAGTGTGATCTAGGTTTTGTAAAATTAAATATATAAAAGTTCAGGAAGAAAAATGACAACATGAAAAATGATTATCTCTGGGAATTTTGGATATTTTACTCATATATTTCCTGTTTTCTCTGTAATTAACATGTATTGCTTTTGTATTAAAAATTAGTACAGGAGCCCTGACCGGTTTGGCTCAGTGGATAAAGTGTTGCCCTGCGGGCTGAAGGGTCCCGGGTTCGATTCCGGCCAAGGGCATGTACCTTGGTTGCGGGCACATCCCCAGTCAGGGGTATGCAAGAGGCAGCTGATCGATGTTTCTCTCTCATCGATGTTTCTAACTCTCTATCCCCTTCCCTTCCTCTCTGTGAAAAATCAATAAAATATATTTTAAAAAAAAATTAGTACAGGAGCCTGGCCAGTGTGAATCAGTGGTTAAGTGTAGACCTATAAACTAGGTCACAGCACATGCTCAGGTTGCAGGCTCGATCCCCAGTAGGGGGCATGCAGAGGTAGCCAATCAATAATTCTCTCTTGCACTAACTGGTTTGGCTCAGTGGATAGAGCGTTGGCCTGTGCACTGAATGGTCCCAGGTTCGATTCCGGTCAAGGGCATGTACCTTGGTTGCGGGCACAACCCCAGTAAGGGGTGTGCAGGAGGCAGCTAATTGATGTTTCTCTCTCATCGATGTTTTAACTCTCTATCCCTCTCCCTTCCTCTTTGTAAAAAAAAATAATAATAATAACAATAATAATAATTCTCTCTTATCTTTGACTTTTTAATCCCTCTTCCTCTCCCTTCCTCTCTGAAATCAGTAAAAATATATATTTAAAAAATTTAGTAAAAAAATTTAAATTTTTAAAAATTAAAATAAATAAATAAATTAGTAAAGGAGCCCTGGCCTTTGTGTCTCAGTGGTTGGAGCATCAACCAGTGCACCAAAGGGTTCAATCCCTGGTCAATGGCGCATACCTGGGTTGCGGGTTTGATCCCTGGCGCGTTCAGAAGACAACCAATCTAAGTGTTTTACATCGATGCCTCTCTCTCTCTCTCTCTCTCTCTCTCTCTCTCTCCTTCTTCTCTTTCTCTCTCTCTCTCTCTCTCTCCCCCTTCCACTCTAGAACATCAATGGAAAAATATCCTCGAGTGAGGATTAACAAAAAAAAACGATTTTTTTTTTCTTTTAGTAAAGGAGGCCCTGGCCAATATGGCTCAGTTGGTTGAGCATCATTCCATGCATAGAAAGATTGCTGGTTTTATTCCTGGTCAGGGTACATATCCAGGTTGCAGGTTCAATCCTGGCCAGGGTGCATATAGGAGGCAACCAATGTTATTTCTCTCTCTGTCTCCCTTCCTCTTTTTCTCTTAAAATTAGTAAAGGAGGTAAAAGCTAACATAAATATGAAATAATTGTAAATACCTTTGAAAATATATAACTTTTTCATTTGTAGGCAGATGTAATGCTAGTCCATTGGTTGAAAACTCAGGGGATCTTTTCGACCTTGCAACATTTAGGACCTGAGATGATTCTGGGACTAAATTATATCGGTTTCCTGTTTTTTAGGAAAGCTATTTTTGATACACCAGATGAGGATCCAAATTACAATCCACTACCTGAAGAGCGGCCAGGAGGCTTCGCCTGGGGTGAGGGCCAGCGCCTCGGCGGGTAAAGCAGCAGTGCCAATAACGAGACCCTGCCGGGAAGGACTCACGACATACCCATTGGGATTCTTTTATCCTTTGTGCTGCAAAAGTGTGGACACTTTTGACAGCTTGACAGATTTTAACTCCAGAAGCACTTTATGAAATGGTACACTGATAATCCAGAAGACATTTCCAGCAGTTTGCCGGTGGTTCCTCACTGCACTGGTACTGAAAGTGTAATCTCTCGGAGCCAAAAACTGGAGAAACATACCCTGCCGCCTCTATCGAACAAGTACATGCGTGCTGAGTTCTGTGGTGAAAGGCAGAGCTCTTTCCTCCTCCTCCTCTTTGATAGACGAGGCCGTGGTGTAAATGGAAGTTTCAGAGAGGACAAAATAAAACGCAATTCCATCTCTCTCTCACTCATTAAAGCTTTTGTGTGTGATCTTTTACGTGATGAGATTGTGTTCCAGCTCTCCTGCATAGGTCTGAGCTCGGAGCAGTTTACATGCCCACTCTTCGTGTGTCTCCACAGCTGTCGACTGGATTTCATTTCAAGATTGGAAATATGCGGCTGATAATATGTGGCTATAGATACATCTTACTCATTCAGAATGGCAGCTCCAGTAGGAACATTTGTTTATGTTGTGCAGACTGTTCTCCTCGGGGTTTTACAAAACGTCAAGTTGTCAGATAATGTAGGTTAGGTGGGTTAGAGTGGTTCCTTTTTTTTTAATCCTCACCTGAGGATATTTTCATTGATTAGAGAGAAAGGGGAACATCGATGGGAGAGAGAAACATGCATCAGTTGCCTCCAGTATATACCCCAATGGGGATTGAACCCTCAACCCTTCAATGATGATACTTTAACCAACTGAGCCACACTGGCCAGGGCAGTAGGGTGGTTCTTACACCAGCAAGAATTCAGATACTGGACAGTTCAGTTATAGGCAGAAAGTTAATGTGGCATCTTATTTCTTCATTTCTCCATTAAGAAATCCAGGGGAAGACACATCGCCACCTTTGTAAAGCCTCAGAAGGATCTTTAGACCGGACATCAAGTTACAATGTTGACTTTGGAGCCAGATGAACAAGGTACCAGTTAGACAGGGATATATTTCTCCTGGGCCTTTGGCTGGTTAACATTTACTGTTTGCTTCATAAAAAGCTAAGAAGCTTTTCAGAGCCAAGTACCTGGTGTATCTTCCAAACCAAGTAGAAATTGGGTTCCACAGAAATAGGAACTTCATGCCTAGGGTTCAATAAATATCCAAAATATTCGCTTCCCTGGGTCTCAGCAGATTTGCATCACATGCCCAAATAATTCAGAGGACTAAAATGGCATCCCAAGAAAAGAGATTGTTTCAAAATAGTTTTAATGAACACCACATAGGCACAGGACTTCTTCCTAAGTAGTTGCAGACTGGTTAAGTGGTAGCTTTCTAGAGTGAGATTTCCCTCAAAGATGATGCTTTAGATTAAACAAAAATTCTAAATGGGACTTTTCAGATTTTGAAGTGAAATAGTATTTTAATGTCTAAATGGAATGTGCGTAAGGAATGGAATTTAAATATTTTAATGCTGCTAGTCGGTAACTTTGAATATGATTGTTGTGATTTTATAGAATATAGGTTAATGGGACTGCTTTTTTCCCCAAGTGGTTTAAAAAATTTAAATGCCAATCTTGGAATGCAGAATCCTTATGGGATTCTTAACTTGTTATGTCTTTATTCAAGAAAGCTTGAATTCAATTAGAAGGGTTTTTTAAAATTGTTTATTTTTTAAATAAGTTTCTCTAGTTTTATTTGTTCTCTCTTAGTTAACTTTGAGTTATTCAATTTATGGAATTCTTGTGGTAAAATTTTAATCCTAAAATCTATTCACTGAGTTCATTTAAGGAGGGAATGTCTGTACATATTAATGACTGGGTAAAACTGGAAACCAATTTTGAATTGATGACCTACACACAGTCAGTTATGGGATTTTGGTTTCTCTGTGGTATGAGAATTCCTAGTGGCAGAATTCCACTGTGGCAGTGGTCACTTCAGTCACTGTCCTCTTACCAGGTTGGCCAGTCCCACTACCACCATCCCTTGCCCTATGTTGTAAGCAGGTTACATAAGGAAAAGTCCTCACCTCTTCTCCAACTTACCTCTCAGTCTCAATTCTTCCAGAACACCCTTTTTTTTCATAATGCAAATCAACTGAAAAATGAGATTCAGTGTATGGAATTTTGTGACCAATTTACCTAACATAATTTAAGAGATTCTTGAATTCTACCATTAATACTGATAAGCACACCTGACTAAGGCATAGTTATGGTGTTGTAGAAATACAATATATGTTCGTGGTTTTGTTTTTATTAAATGGACATACAAATTGCATCTCCCTAGGGCAGTGGTTGGCAAACTGCGGCTCACGAGCCGCATTCGGCTCTTTGGCCCCTTGAGTGTGGCTCTTCCACAAAATACCACGTGTGGGCGTGCACGTACAGTGCGATTGAAACTTTGTGGCTCATGCGCAGAAGCCGGTATTTTGTGGAAGAGCCACACTCAAGGGGCCAAAGAGCCGCGTGTGGCTCGCGAGCCACAGTTTGCCGACCACTGTCCTAGGAGATAACATTTTATATACATTTTGATATGGGGTTTACTATGATTTACATTTTCCTCTTCCACTTGTTCTTTTTCTATGTCGCTCTTATATGTCCCAATATCTTTCAAACTTCTTGTGTAGTCTTTCTAAGCAGAGAGCGCCCAAGTGTTGGATTTTGGTAATGAAGCCCTCACTCTGTCTCTGGTGTCTATGGGAATTAGGAAATATTGGAGCTATTGGCATGTTGCATAAAGGGCTTCCTAGAATTGTCATCTGTCCTTGATAGCCTGCATTTTATGTTGCGGCTGTGTTTTCCTTTGACAGATGAGTGCCATCTGTGTTGTAGTCACAAAATGCCATTGTTTCAAGTGTCCTTAGGATGTCCCCTAAGCTATTTGCATATTATATGAATTTGCATGAAAGCTGGTGAACTTTTTATGATCAAGTCATTTCTCTGCTCAGAAATCCACAGTGACTTCTTAGCCCCCATATCAAATGCATACCTTTTGCCTTTCTCTGAACCTTACTCCTACTTCTAACAGGAGCCTCAGTTTAGTTTCGTCAGTCCTTCAAGGCCTGACCCCTTTCTGACTCCTCAAGAAATTTTGTCTCTAAGGCCCATTTCATTGTCTTTCTTCTTTGAATCCCTGTAAGCTTCAAGTCTACGATATACTCCTACACGAAATTATATATTGTTTTGTACTGTTTCTAGCTGGTACATGTATATTAGTTTTGTCTCCCTCATAAGAATGTAAGCTCCTTAAGGGCAGGGACCATGTCTTAAATTTTTGTATCCACCACAGTGCCTGGCATAGTGCTCGGCACATGGGTGCTGAATAAATACTTTGTTTTGATCAGCAAACTATTATCTGGTATTTTTAAAGAGAGGTTAATGGCCCAGCCAATGTGGCTCAGTGGTTGAGCATCGACCTATGAATCAGCTGGTCATGGTTCAATTCCCGGTCAGGGCATATGCCCAGTTTGCCGGCTTGATTCCCAGTGTGGGGCATGCAGGAAGCAGCTGACCAATGTTTCTCTTCCTTGTCCTCCCTCTCTCTAAAATAAATAAAAACATTTTACTTTTCTCTTATTTTTAAATCCCCACCCAAGGGTATTTTTCCATTGATTTTAAGAGAGAGTGGAAGGGAGGGGGAAGAGACAGAAATAGAAACATTGATGTGAGAGAGACCCATCTATTGGTTGCCTCCCGCACACAGCCTGGTCAGTGACAGGGATTGAGCCTGCAACCAAAGTATGTGCCCTTTTCCTAGATTGAACCCAAAACCCTTCAGTCCACGGGCCAATGCTCTAACCACTGAGCAACTGGATAGGGCAATAAAAACATAAAAATAAAATGGACAGATTTCACATGAAAATACTCATTTTTTTACTTTCCTTGAAAAGAATGGGAAGGTCTGGCAATACCCAGCCTGCATGGCAGCTATTGCCCAGAGGTCACTAGTGGCTGCTTCTAGAGTCAGGGAATGTTCTCTATGAAGAGATTATTTTACTCATTCGTGTTACCGACCTGGACTTACGATCATGTGGAACACGTCTCCTTCATTAGCTTACTTGGGAAAGCACACTGGGAAAAAGGACCGAGGTCTGTCTGTTACATACTCCAGGTCCCTAAATTGAGTTAACATTCAATTATTGCTATGGTTTGAATATCTGTGCCCCCACCCCAAATTCATAGGCTGAAATCCTAATCCTTGATGTGATGGCATTAAGAGGTGGGGGCCTTTGGGAGGTACTTAAATCATGAGGTAGATTCCTCATTAATGGGATTAATGCCTTATATAAAAGCTCCAGAGATCCCTACCCACTTCCTTCACCTGAGGGTACAAGAAAGGCGCAGCAATGAAACAGGGAGAGGGCCCTCAACCAAAGGCAACCATGCTGACACCTTGATCTTGGAATCCAACCTCCAGAACTGAGCAATTCTTTTCTGTTGTTTGTAAGCTACCTAGTCTGTGGTATTTTGTTATAGCAGTTCTATTTGGTATTTTATTTTCCTTTTTAGTTTTGGGTTTTCTTTCTAAAATTTTAAGGGCAAGAAGTGAAATTTTGTCAATTCTTAAACACATATTTGCTATTAGTTCAACATGTACTTTTTCAGTAACCCCTGGTCACTATACTGTCAGCAACTAAAGGAAAATTGCCTCAGATCTAGAGGAAGGGGAAAGGAGAATTTTTAACAGGTTTACGAATATAAGTGTCATGGAGATGAACGTCAGAGGATGCCTCAAATCCTTCATGTGGGTTGAAGCTAATGATAAATTATTTTTATATAATTTCCTGTATGCAGAGCAAATGGGCTGCTTGCCAGTCTTTCTGTGTGAATTAGAAAATCGTCTAAGAGCTTTGAACTTAGGAGGGGATGGACAAACTAGTTTTAACCTACTTTCCCTTGCTGCAGTTCTGACTCTTCATTGATTGGTGTTTGTGTGATGGGTGTTGGGAAGCACTGTAGAGAACTTCAAAGTCTGGCAGGAATAGTTGGAGGAAAGGAGGGGCAAATACAATTTTAGTTCCATTAAAATCCCTCTTTCCATGCTTGTATTACAGGAACATGCCACTCCATTTGGGATTGTCATTTTCTGAGGAGAATATAGAATTATTAGAAAATATATAATGCTTTCCTTTTCTGCAACGCAAGATGATCACGAGTATCCTTTTCAACATTCTGATTTTTTTTTTTAACTATGAATGACTTTAATTTTGGAGGCTCCGTTTCTTGTCTGTAAATTGGGGATTAATAGTATTAAATTGCTTAGAGGATTAAATAATTGCAAATGTTTGTGTTCCTCATTGATTTTTAAAAATTAAGCACTTTCCTTGAAAAGCGAGTACTATTGTGAAGGAGAAGGGGAAACGCGTGTTTACTAGAGTTAGTATTACCAGCACAATAAAACTGGAAGATCGCTTTATTAGCCAAGGAAGGTGAAGGTCCCAAGGAACCGTACACCCCTTCTTTCGCTGTGGTCGCTCCGGAACCTTTTCTTCTTGTACCGCGGATGCTGCTCTCCTCGCCCTCAGGAAGTGAAAGCCTTCCCAAGCTCCCAGTGCATGCTGGGAGTTGTAGTCCTTTCCCTAAAGGCGAGAGGAGGCCGTGAGGTCTCCCTTGGTCGCCGGGAGTGGCTAGCTAGCACGTGGCTGGAAGGGGCGGCGCGTGCTGGCACCCGGCTCCCGGGAGCTGAGAGCTGCCCGCCCTGGCTCCCCCTGTCTCTGCGCCCCCCCGACATGCCCGAGGAGGCGAGATTCCCGCCGCCTAAGAGATTCCGGCAGGGCCTTGGGCCTCCGAGCCACGACGGGAGGCGACTGGTGATGCAGCCGAGTGCGGGCGGCGGCGGCGGCGGCGGCAGAGGAGGAGGAGGAGGAGGCCAGCGGCGGCAGCCGCCCCTGGCCCAGCCCTCGGCCAGTCCCTACCCCGAGGCCGTGGAGCGGCAGCGCCGGAGTCTGCCCATCTTCCAGGCGCGGGGGCAGCTGTTGGCTCAGCTCCGAAACCTGGACAGCGCCATCCTCATCGGTGAGCGGCCGCGCGGCCAAGTCCTTCCTGGTTCACTGTTCCTGGCGCTGCGAGCAGAGTCTTTCTTAGGTGCCTCTCATCCTCTTTGGTTTGTTTCTACCACAAACTTAACGGTCTTTTCGGTGCCAGGCCGGGAGAGGGGCCTCGGAGGAGTCTGACAGCCCTGCTCTGGGGGTGCCCACAGCCCGGTGGGGTGACCGAGTTGTTATGCAAAGACCCTTCCGAGTGAACGGGCGCAGGGGCTTGCCGGGAGTCTGAGGGTGCATCGGAGCCAGTCTGGCAGGAGGCGGCGGGGGAGGCGGTCCCCGAGGGGGGCATCCTCCCAGGGGGAGAGCTTCGTGAGAGGCGCGTGGAGGCAAGAAACAGCCCGGTTGGCCTGACGGGAAGCAGCAGTTTTCGGTGCATGAACTAAAAGGCGGAGCTGTGACTTGGGGACCGATTGCAAGGGGCTTTGATCCCCAACGTTTAAGTCAGAGGAGCTTCTGAAGGACCGAGAGGATGAGCCTCCAAACAGTGGGAGGAGACCCCAAAGAGCCAATATACATAGCTAAAGGGACACAGTGATAAGAAGCGGGAAGCCCTGGCTGGTTGCTCGGTGGTTACAGCATCGGCCGCGGACTGAAGGGTGGCGGGTTGGATTCTGGTCAAGGGCGTCTACCTCGGTTGCAGGCTGGATCCCCACCCCTGGTGGGGGCGCGTGCGGGAGGCAGCCAATCCATGTGCCTCTCTCACATAGAGGTTTCTGTCTCTGACTTTCCCCTCCCTTCCACTCTCTCTAAAAATCAATGGGGGGAAAAATATATAGATAGATATAGATGTAGATGATATAGATATAGGTAGATATCGGATGAGGATTAATAAAGAGGAGGGGCATGAACAGATGCAGCAATGAGGTCCAATAATTAGACCCCAAAAATGCCCACTGGATTTGAGATGTGATTGTGGACCCACTGTACACTATTCAGACAAGTT